CACGGGGTTCGGATCACGGGGCACCAGCCAAAATGGCACCACAAATGGGTCTTTGGGCTCTGAGCAGGACGGATCGGGCAGCACGACTGTAGGCGAGATGAATGCCTTCATGCCGACGGGCAGGTCTGTAAGCGAGGGCACTACCACCCCAGAGGGAGGTACTTTGACACCTACTGACACCACGGGAGACAAGGGTATCAAGAACAGTGTGCCACGCGCATACTCTTTCAAAGCAACCACATCATATACTGCAGGCCGTGGTCTCGCATCGCCTATGTAGGCCAACGACGCATAAGACTCAAAAAGAGCGTGGGCGTGCATGAGACCCGCCTTCACGAGAGCGACGCAATTGCTCTGCTGGAGGTCCTCGTTGTCCTGCGGGGGGGGGCAGCGGGAGCGCGGGAGAAAGAACACAGGACGAGGAGTGCCGTCTTATGCCTCCTCTTTCTCCTCTTCCTCCTTATCCTCCTCCTCCCCTCTTTCCTCCTCCTTCTCCTACTCCTCCCTCTCCTCCTCCTCCTTCTCCTGCTCCCTCCTCCTTTTATCCTCTCATCCTCCCTTCATTCCCCCCTCCCTTCCTCCTCCCGCCCCCCCAACTCCTCGTGCTCTTAGTCCTGCTGCTCTTGAGCCTCTCCCTCCTCATCCTACTCCTTCTCCTCCTCCTCCTTCTCCCTCTTCTTACTCATTCTTCTCCTCCTCCTCCTCCTCTCTCCCTCAGCTTGGACCCCTCGCGTCGGCTCTGGGTCCTGGGAGCGGAAGTCGGCCGACTTGATCTCGAAGCCCGCGCCCTCGGGCACCGCCTTGGGGCTGAGAGGGGGGAGGGCCTCATCATCCTCCTCATCATCCTCATCCTCTCATCCTTCTGCTCATCCTTCTCGTTTTCGATATCCTGCTTCTCTTCCTCCTCCTGCCTCCTCCTTCCTCCTTATCCTCCTCCAATCAGCTTCATCGTAAACTGTTCTCTCAAGCTTGCGTTGGCTCAACATGTCTGAGGGGGCTGTGCGGGCGTTTGGCGTTAGCCAGGCCCCGCCTCGTAGTCGTCCAGCAACGTCGCGGCCTCCACCAGGAACGAGTTCTTGACCTTCTTGCTCTTGCCCTTGCCCGCGTTGCCAGGCTCGTCGCTGGGCGCCAAACTGACCTTGCCATCCTTGGTGAAATCAATGATGTCCCACGTCTTCGCGTTGTTGGTGTCCTCATCTCCCTTCAGCTGGACCAGCACTCCGATGTCCATCCCAGCGGCCTTCAACGACTCTGAGCTGACCCCGCCGCCGACGAACTCCCGCATGACACCCGTTTGCGACTGGCGACCTGCGGCTTGACGATCATCATTTGGCAGGTCCCAAGGTTTCTCCATCTCCTTCGGGGCTGGGAACTTCAGGATGGTTTCGCTGATGAGCTTCTGCTTGATTTGCTCCGTGCTGACAAAGTTCTCGCGGTGTTTCGCCTTCTTCTTGTGCAAGAACATCGTCATCCTCACCTGGAAGTCGCCGTAGAGTTTCGCCGTAGTTCCTTCAACGGTGCCTCCACCAACGACGTTGCCTTTGGACTTGTCGCCAACGACCTTCAGCCACTCCTTCGCAGAAACCATATCCGACTGCGCCCTCAGCGTCACAGACTTCGTCTTGGCGATGTCGCTCACGTCGCTCGCGCTGAAGAGCTTCGCCTCGCTTCCGTTGCAGTGGCCCTCAGGAGCGACGAGGGATGCTTTGATGATGCCGACCACGTAGCCGGGCGCCTGGCTCAGCGGTAGGGCTGCGAGCCCTCGAATGAGGGAGCTGGGAAGGTCGCGCCTCATGGTGAGCACCTTCGAGTAGGCCGCGATGCACTTGATGTAGGTCGGGTTGGGACCACCACCGAATGCGATCACGAAGTCGCCGATGCCGCGGATCTCCCCCTCGAGGTGCGTGCTGGTGGCCTCCAGCTGGCGGGTGATCGCATCCAGCTTGTGATCTCCAAACAACGATTTGTTTTGCAGAGCTTTCTTGTGCGCGACAAACATAGCCTGGATATCAGTTTGTTTCCTGTCAATACCATGGCCTACGTTTCCAGCTTCGCTTAAAAAGTCGGCCAATTCCGGGATCGCTGTTGCGACCTGGTGCCGAATAACAAACCAAGGGATGCCCTCCGTGAGCGACTTGTTGCATGATGGACTCAGCGCCGCAACCTTTGCAGCCAGAACCCCTGAAGCTGATGGATGTCCAGTCCAACCCAACCTCGCATCAGTGGCGCACTGTATGCTCAAGGTTGGGTCAGACAGGACAAGTTTGGGCTTGGGTTCGGGCCGCGTAACCTTCTGCCTGCAGAGACGGCCGTCCGTGCACAGGTGGGCCAGGTGCGACGTACACTGTCCAAGCACGGCGCGTTGCCCAGCAGCGATATGGGAGCAGGTCAGCGTTGCGATCTTCATGTCGTGCTGGCTTATCAGAGGCAATTGGCCGTCAGAGGCCGCCCAAAGAAGGCGATTGAACTCGCGCACCTCCTGGGCCTTCAGCGGGTCGATTTCCAAGGCCCTGGGCGTCTTGAGCTCGTGGTCACTCCATCCCTGGTGGACTATCTTCGCTAGAAGGGCATGTACATCGAAAGGGTCGAGCCCCATTCCCCACCTATTCACTGGGTGGACGACGCTCTTACAAGAACGAACCCGCTCGAAGTACCCGAGATTCTTGGTGAAGAGCTCCTCGCATATCTGATCAGCACGAGCTTTCATCTGGCCCTTAGACTGATCATCCGCAGAGGGATCGTACTCGGAAATCAATTTCTTGATGCTCGAAACGCACTCCTGCAAGGCCGCCTCCATGCTGGACGCGGCTCGAGAATTCCTTCGAACGCCAGATCGACCCCGAAGGTCGCAGTTGGACAGCTTGGGCCAGAGCAGTTGCATTCGCCAAAAAAAGACATCATCCCCTCTCCCCTTCATCATTTCCTCTCCCCTTCAGTTGAAAATCTTTGCGCCAACTCACAAGAAACCAGCCGCGCCATCAAGAAATCAGCCCCCCCGAAGATCGCGTAACCAGGTTAGCTAACCAGGTTAGGGTCGATAGCTAAGTGGCCGAACCTGGTTACGACAGAACCCTGTAACCAGACCTAACCTGGTTAGGCGGTTACGCATAAGTGGATACGAAGTGCGATAACAAGCTTCTATGAAATGCATTAGTGCTGTATCTCTGCTAAGTGCTTAGCCGACGGATCTAAGTGGATAGGGAGGTTGAGGCCGGTTCTGCAACATACAACCTACGTTGTACTACTTACAACCTATGGTTCACCAACTTACATCTGGGTTCAACCGTGCAAACCACATAGCAACCAGAGCGGTTATTCAAGCCGAGAAACTTCTGGAGAACTCCCGGGCAACTCCCAAGAAATCCCATGGGAAACGCCCGGAAAATCCTGAAACTTCGAAAGAACTCCGGGACAGCTCAGGGAAACCCGGAAACTCAAGAAAAACGAAGAACCCCCACGGAATATGCATGGGAAATACGGAAACTTAGAAACATCTGCAAGGGGAAACTCACTGAAAACTCGCGGGAAATCCCGAAACTCCGAAACCACTCCAAAGGCAATCTCCCTGAAAACCGCCGGACGATCCCGAAACTTGAAAAACAACTCTGAAAATCAACTCCCCGAAAACTCTTGGGAAATTGCCAAACTCCGAAAAACAACTCCTGACAGACTCCCGTGAATCCGGAAACTCTGGAAACAAACGATAAAACGAACTCACAGAAAACCCTGGTGAAAACCCACAACACAGAAATAACCTCGAAAACAAGCATCAAGAAACTCCCCGGACACCCGAAAGCTGAGAAAATAACTCAGAACACATTCCCGGAAAACTCTAGAGAACCCAGAAACGAATAACACAAACTGAAAGAAAACGAAAAACTCCCGGAAACGGGAAATCCAGAAACTCCGAAAAAAACTCCTGGGGAAAACTCTTGGGGAAAACTCATAGGGAATTCCAAAACTCATAACAACTCGAAGGGGAAACTCACGGAAACTAAATGTTTGTTTTGAGAATTTGCGGCCAGAGTTTAATAAGAGTGTGAATGTTAGACGACTTGGGGGCCCAAAATCAATCAGAGTTCGACCAAGTTTTTTTCTCGACCATCCTGTGGAGTTGGGTCCTCGTTTGGAAGAGACGGTCCCCGCGTTAACTCCTCCCGCTGCCCCCTCCCTCCTGCTGCCATCATCATCATCATCATCATCATCATCAGCATCATCATCGTCATCATCATCATCGTCATCGTCATCATCATCATCATCATCATCATCATCATCATCATCATCATTATTACCATGATCATGATCATGATCATGATCATCATCATCATCATCATCATCAGCATCATCATCATCATCATCACCAATCATCACCAATCATCATCATCATCATCATCATCATCATCATCATCATCATCATCATCATCATCATCATCATCATCATCGTCATCGGCCGTTCCAGCACACCCCTCACACGTTTCGTGGCCCCATAGGGAGCCCCACCGAAGGCCCCAGTGGCAGGGTCCGCATGGCACCGCCGCCCCATTTCGGCACACCCCTCACGCGGTTCGTGGCCCCATAGGGAGCTCCACCGCAAGCGGTACCCACAACGCGGTGTACTCACAACTGCGTGTGGTTGGGTCCTTCGCCAGGATAACTTTGTTTTGGCGGCTCGGCACGCAGAAAAAGCGAATGAGTAATACGCTGACGGGCTCCCAACGCCAGCGTGTCATTGCAATGTTGCCCGATGGGACATCATTCGGGGGGAAACCAAAAGGTACCGATACCGCTGCTCCCCGGACCTCTCCTGGGGGGCGTTCTGACCAGGATTTCGAGGCGAATCCAGCGGTGGCGACGACGGAGGCCCAGGAGGCCCAAAAAGGGGAAGACGAGGGGAGGGTAGAGGTATAGGTACCTCCTCCTCCTCTGGATCATTGCAATGCTGTCCCATTGCTGTCTCCCAGGGGAGCCGAGCAGGCAGCCAGCGAACGAATCGCGCCCGCCTTCCGCAACTCCGCGGGCAAGTCCGGCCCGGCCTTGGCCATGTCGACCCTGCCCCCCGCGCACGAGGCGGGGCCAGGCCCAGATCGCCCGCGGCATCCGCGCGGCCTCCTGACCCTCCTCCTCCTGCACCTCCTCCTCCTCCTCCTCCTCCTTTCCCGCTGCTTCTACTCCTCACTATCCTCCACCTTCTCGCCCTCCCTCCTCCTCCCTCCTCCTTCTGCTTCTGCTCTCCATTATCCTCAGAAATCCTCCCTCTCTTCCTCCTCGTTTTCCTCCTCCTCCTCCTCCTCCTCTTCCTCCTCGTCGTCCTCCTCCTCCTCCGCCTCCTCCTTTCCTTCATGATCGTCTACCTCTCGCACTTCATCGCGACCCGTACCTAGGCATCCGACGTCTTGAAAAGACAAGACAAGAATTCGTTCTCGTGGTTAGTCTCAGGACTGTCAAAGAACGAATTGATATGGACAAACTGCTCCACAGAAGGTGCCCATACTTCCGAAGACCTGCAGTGTGAACGGAATCCCACCACCTTTCGGGCGCGAGTGGTTTAGAGCACTTCATCCTGAACCCCCCCTTTTCGACCCCTTCGGGGAGGGAGTGACCCACACCCCTACTCCCTCCCCTTTGGGTTTGGAAAAGGGGGCTTTCGCGAAACGATGGGACATGATCCGCACGCGGCGCATGCATCAAAACCGGCACTGTAGCCATCCCATCCCCTTCCGCTCCCATTCCCCGAGGCCGCACCGAGGATTGGCGGCGCGCACAGGGGGGTGGAGGGAGGGGGGAGGGCTTCTTAGAAGGAGGCTGCTTCTTCGAAGGCGCTGGCCTCACACCTATAGAAAGGGCCCGCGCCTTCTAAGAAGCAGGGGTGCTTCTAAGAAGCCCTCCCCCCTCCCCCCACCCCCCTCTGCGCGTGGCTGAGAGGAGCCCCCCCCCCGCGCCCCCCTGGGCGCGGCCTGTAGTCGGCGCCCCGGCGGCCCGCTCGGGCGGACCTCGGCAGCAAGGGGCGGGGCGGCGGCGGTAGGCTGCGCTCCAGCTGGGGGGGGGGGGGGCACGAGGGCCCAGGAGGCCCTGGAGCCGAGCCCGTCTTTCGGCAGCGAGCAAGGGGGGGGGAGTGAGGAGGAGGCCTTCTCAGAGGCGGCGGGGCCTCTCAGAAGCCCTCCGGCTCTCCGAAGAGTTTTCCGTGTCTTCGGGGAAGGCTTCGAAGACTTCTCAGAAGGCCCGAACCCTTCCGAGCCTTCTGAGAAGGCCCGCCCCTTCTCACTTCCCCCCTGGGCTCGCCGCCGATTTTGGCATCTCCGGGCCCTCTGCGGCCATCCTTGGCAGTCCCCGCTGTCTTGCAGAGGGCCTCATCGTGGCAGCGCCTGCGAGGTCAGGACGGGGCCAGGGGCAGAAGGGGGGGACAACTGCACAATTACTACCAGACACAATGATCCCCACGTGTGCCGAGCGGATCTGAGAGACTGGGTGGGCCAAGACCTCCCAACAATCTGAGCGCGAACGGGCCTGTGATGCACCCCCCGGCGGCTCCACCTCCGGTGGCCCCCCCCACCGCCTATGCCTGCTACGTCGCGGTGGCCCATGCGAGCTTGACAAGCAACACGCTGACCTCCCGAGCGAGCGCCCCGCTCGAGGCATGCAGACAATCTGAGCGCCGACGGGCGCGTCAGATACCCCCTTGCCGGCTCCCCCCATGGGGCTCCTACGTGTCACGCCTGCCGCATCGCGATAATCGTGCGGCCCTCACAAAAATTAGGTCGGGCATGTCCCTCTACAGGCGGACGTTGGGCGAAAAATAAATACTGTCTTGAAAAATACCCCGACGTAGTCAAACAAATATTCAAATTATAGCGGGAGTGCAGTATCCCCAAACAAGGTTTGTGAACCCACTGCGGTCTCCAAGGTCGATCGCGTGCCCGTCCAGTGCGGGCTGGCATGGCATGTTAGAACATGATAACATGATGTGCACATGAGAGGGCGGAAGGCAGGGCGCGAATGACGGATGCTGAGGCGGCAGAAACGACGACGGCGGGGACGGGGAGGCGGACGCAGAGGCGCAGCAGCGGGAGGCGGGAGGCGGGAGATGGGAGGAGGGAAGATGAGCCAGGCGGGAAGCGGGAAGGGGGAGAAGGAATGAGAGAGGTTGTGATTGGATCCCCTGTGCTACGAGACGTCTCAGGCAGAACGCGCCAGACCATCTCGCACTCAACATCTTCGAGCTTCGCATTGCGAGGATGGCTCAAGCGAAACGGGCCAGACCACCTCGCGAGCGATATCTTGGAGCTCAGTATTGGAAGGATGTCTCAAACGAAACGGGCCGGACAACCTCTCGCACACGTTCTGACAAGTCCAGACAACACTCGCTTCCCGTTAGGTCCTCTCCTGCAAGTCCCTTCCTTCTCCCTCCTCCTCCTCCTCCTCCTCCTCCTTCTCCCTTCCATCTCCTCCTCCTTCTCCTCCTCCTCCACCTCCTCTTCATCCCGAACGGCATCTCGGAGCCCAGAGTTGCGAGAATGTCTCCAGCGTAACGGGCTGGACCACCTCGCCCGCGGCATCTCGGACCCCAGAGTTGCGACGATGTCTCGGGCCAAACGTGCTGCGCGGAAGTCTCAGGCGAAACGGGCCGGACCACCTCGAGCGCGGCGTCTCAGAGCTCCGAGTTGCGGGGGCCTCCTGGGGCCTCCTGGGGCCTCCTGGGGACCTCCTGTGGCTTCCTCCTGGGCCTCCTGTGGCCTCCTGGACTCCACCTGGGGCTTCCTGAAGCCTCTTGGGGCTCCCAGGGGGGGATATCTAACATGTGGCCGTCTGAGCCCCCCAACATGTGGGGCGGCCACAAGAGCAGGACAAATCAACGAATCGGCACCGGATGTGTATTAACTTTACACGTTCTGATAGGGGGCCTCCTGGGGCCTCCTGGAAGCCTCCTGGGAATCTCCTTGGGACCCCTGGGGCCTGTCCTGGGCGTCCTGCGGCCTCCTGAAGCTCTCTGGGGCCTCCTGGGGCTCCCAGGGTTCTAGGGGGGATATGTAACATGTGGTCTTCTGGGCCCCCAGGCTGGACCACCTCTTGCGCGGCATCTGGGAGCTCAGAGTTTCGAGGATGTCTCAGGCGAAACGGGCCGGACCACCTTGCGCACGGCATTTCAGAGCTCAAAATTGCGAGAATGTCTCAGGCGAGACGGGCCGGACCACCTCGCAGGGCATCTCAGAGCTTAGAGTTGCGCGGATGTCTCAGGCGAAACGGGCTGGACCACGTCGCGCGCGGCATCTCCGAGGTCAGAACTGCGAGGATGTCTCAGGCAAAACGGGCCGGACCACCTCTTGCGCGGCAGCACAGAGCTCAGAGTTTCGAGGATGTCTCAGGCGAGACGGGCCAGACCACCTCGCGCGCGGCATCTCAGAGCTCAGAGTTTCGAGGTCGTCTCAGACGAAACGGGCCGGACCACCTCTCGCGCGGCATCTCGGAATGCAAAAGTGCGAGGATGTCTCAAATGAAACGGGTCAGACCACCTCTTGGGCGGCATCTCGGGGCTCAGAGTTGAGAGGATGTCTGAAGCGAAATGGGCTGGACCACCTCTCGCGCGGCATCAGAGAGCGCAGAATTGCGAGGACGTCTAAGGCAAAACGGGCCGGACCACCTCGCGCACGGCATATCAGGGCTCAGAGTTTTGAGGACGTCTCAAGCGAAACGGGCCAGACCACCTCTTGCGCGGCATCTCGGAGCCCAGAGTTTTGAGGATGTCTCTGGCGAAATGGGCTGGACCACCTCTTGCGCGGCATCTGGGAACTCAGAGTTGCGAGGATGTCTCAGGCGAAACGCACCGGACCACCTCGCGCACGGCATCTCAGAGCTCAGAATTTGGAGGATGTCTCAGGCGAAACGAGCCGGAAGATCTCTTGCGTGGCATCTCGTAGCCCAGAGTTTCGAGGATGTCTGAAGCGAAATGGGCTGGACCACCTCTTGCGCGGCATCTCGGAGTCCAGAATTTGGAGGATGTCTCAGGCGAAACAGGCCGGACCACCTCTCGCGCGGCGTCTGGGAGCTGAGAGTTCTGAGGACGTCTCAAGCGAAACGGGCCGGACCACCTCCTGCGCGGCATCTGAGAACATAGAGTTTCGAGGATGTCTCACGCGAAACGCCCAATCCCGGACAACTCATAAACGAGAGTTGCGAGGATGTCTCAGGCGAAACGGCCCGGACCACCAAATTTGTTTGACGACGCCTCTGCTTTGAGCTCCCTCGGCCGGAGTTAGCTTCTATCACAGCAGCACCCCGTTCAGCAAGCTGTCTGGGGAAAAAGCATCCCGAGACTATTTGTTACTATTTTTGAATATCCCTCCTACACAAAAAGTACAATGTTTACTATGTTTGAACAGTTTTACTATTTTCGAATATTTGTTACGACTTCTTACTATTGCTTAACACAAAGAGCACGCCACCTTCCTCACGGCGCCTCGCTCCAGACATCCCCACGGCCCGAGCGCCAACGGGCACGTGACCCCGCAGGGGCGCCCTCGTGTGGTGCCCCAAATGCAGCTCCTGCTGCAGTCAACCAGTATACAGGGCAGTTTTTAATACATGGGATTCTAACCAGATATAATATTTTTAATACATGATTAATGTATGAATGAATTTATGCATGAACTCATCGTTGTTTTTAATGCTAAATCCTTGGATTTTCAATACATGATCCACACGCGGAGCATGTATTAAAAACGGCACTGCATGGTGCCCAAATGCAGTTCCTGCTGCAGTCAACCTGTATAGTAAGGATGCGCGCTAAGGACGCAAGGGCCTTGGACGCCCATGTCGAAGCTTTTCGAGCGGGGCGCGGCCAGCGAAAGCGGCGATGGATGGACCGAGGAGGCAAGGATGCAAGGGTGCCCCTGGGAAGGTTGCCCATCCTTACTATGCGGTTTGACTGTGCATCGCATCGCGATGGTCTTGGGACTCTGGAGAGAGTCGTATGCACCCACCCTAATAAACAAGCGAATCGCTCAAGCCACCCCCACACTCTGGGCGCGGACGGGCCTGTGATGCACCTCCTGGCGGCTCCCCCTTGGCCGAAATGTGACGCCTGCGTGATGTCGGGACTCTGTAGCCCAAGAGGGACCCAGAACAGCACACGAGGGCCTCGAGATGGCCCAACGGGGCCCCAGGAGACTCACAGGGGCTCTCTGGGAAGCCTTTTGGTGCTCTTTGGGGCCGTCTTGGGGGTCTCCTAGGTTGTTTTGGAGCCCTTGTGGGCTGGGGACTTCTTGGGCCGTCCTGGGGCGATCTTGGGGGCGTCTTGGACCGTCTTGGACGCGGTGAAGGCCAAAGAAGCGGATGTGCTAAACATGCACGTTTCCCGAAGGAAATGGGAAGAGTCCCACCAGCCCTTTGGGCGTGAGTGGTTTAGCGAGCTCTCTCTGTTCTCAACCCCCCTTCTTCCCCTTCGGGGAGGGGTTTACCCCTCCCCCTACCCCCTCCCCCTGGACCTGGAGAGGGGGTTTCGCGGGTGGTCAGAGGGTCCTTTTTCTATCCCTGGGAGGGCTAAAATTCGACACCCCTCACGAGGATCGTGGCCCCGACGGGGGTACTGACAAAAATGCTCGCCCCATCTGTGATCGATCGCCCCAAAGATGGCCCCAACAGGCCCCCAAGACGCTCCAAGAGGCGCCCAAGCGAGCCCCAAGAGGCCCCAAGAGGCCTCCAAGAGGCCCCCAAGATGCCCCCAAGAGGCCCCCAAGAGGCCCCGAGAGGCTCCCCCGAGGCACCCAAGACGCTCCTGGAAGCCCCTGGGGCCGCCAAGAGGCCCCCAAGACGCCCCAAACGGCCTCCAAGAGGCTCCCAAGAGGCCCGAAGAGGCTCCCCCAAGGCACCCAAGACGCTCCTAGAAGCCCCTGGGGCCGCCAAGAGGCCCCCAAGACGCCCCAAAAGGCCTCCAAGAGGCTCCCAAAAGACATCTACTACTACTACTACTACTACTACTACTACTACTACTACTACT